GACAATGCAGAAATACAAAGGATCATGAGAGATTACTACAAGCAACTCTATGCCAATAAAATGGACAACCTGGAAGAAATGGACAAATTCTTAGAAAAGCACAAGCCTCCGAGACTGAACCAGGAAGAAAGAGAAAATATAAACAGACCAATCACAAGCACTGAAACTGAAATGTGATCAAAAATCTTCAAACAAACAAAAGCCCTGGACCAGATGGCTTCACAGGTGGATTCTATCAAACATTTAGAGAAGAGCTAACACCTATCCTTCTCAAACTCTTCCAAAATATAGCAGTGAGGAACACTCCCAGACTCATTCTATGAGGCCACCATCACCCTGATACCAAAACCAGACAAAGATGCCACAAAAAAAGAAAACTACAGGCCAACATCACTGATGAACATAGATCCAAAAATCCTCAACAAAATACTAGCAAACAGAATACAACAGCATATTAAAATGATCATACACCATGATCAAGTGGGGTTTTTCCCAGGGATGCAAGGATTCTTCAATATACGCAAATCAATGTGATACACCATATTAACAGGTTGAAGGAGAAAAACCATATGATCATCTCAATAGACGCAGAAAAAGCTTTCGACAGAATTCAACACGCATTTATGATTCAAACCCTGCAGAAAGTATGCATAGAGGGAACTTACCTCAACATAATAAAGGCCATATATGACAAACCCACAGCCAACATCATTCTCAATGGTGAAAAACTGAAACCATTTCCACTAAGATCAGGAACAAGACAAGGCTGCCCACTCTCACCACTCTTATTCAACATAGTTTTGGAATATTTAGCCACAGCAATCAGAGAATAAAAGGAAATAAAAGGAATCCAAATCAGAAAAGAAGAAGTAAAACTGTCACTGTTTGCAGATGACATGATACTATACATAGAGAATCCTAAAGATGCTACCAGAACACTATTAGAGCTAATTAATGAATTTGGTAAAGTAGCAGGATACAAAATTAATGCACAGAAATCTCTTGTAATCCTATACATAAGGATGAAAAATCTGAAAGAGAAATTAAGGAAACACTCCCATTTACCACAGCAGCAAAAAGAATAAAATACCTAGGAATAAACCTACTTAAGGAGACAAACCTGTATGCAGAAAACTATACAACACTGATGAAAGAAATTAAAGATGATACAAATAGATGGAGAGATATACCATGTTCTTGGATTGGAAGAATCTGCATTGTGAAATTGACTATACTACCCAAAGCTATCTACAGATTCAATGCAATCCCTATTAAACTACCAATGGCATTTTTCACAGAACTAGAACAAATAATTTCACAGTTTGTATGGAAACAAAAAAGACCCCGAATAGTCAAAGCAATCTTGAGAAAGAAATACAGAGCTGGAGGAATCAGGCTCCCTTACTTTATACTATACTACAAAGCTACATTAATCAAGGCAGTATGGTATTGGCACAAAAACAGAAATATAGATCAATGGAAGAGGATAGAAAGCCCAGAGATAAACCCACATACATATGGTCACCTTCTTTTTGATAAAGGAGGCAAGAATATACAATGGAGAAAAGACATCCTCTTCAATAAGTGGTGCTGGGGAAACTGGACAGCTACATGTAAATGAATGAAATTAGAACACTTCCTAACACCATACACAAAAGTAAACTCAAAATGGACTAGAGACGTAAATGTAAGGCCAGACACTATAAAACTCTTAGAGGAAAACATAGGCAGAACGCTCCATGACATAAATCACCGCAAGATACTTTCTGACCCACCTCCTAGAGAAATGGAAATAAAAACAAAAATAAACTAATGGGACCTAATGAAACTTCAAAGCTTTTGCACAGCAAAGGAAACCATAAACAAGACAAAAACACAACCCTCAAAATGGGAGAAAATATTCACAAATGAAGCAACTGACAAAGGATTAATCTCCAAAGTATACAAGCAGCTCATGCAGCTCAATATCAAAAAAACAAACAACCCAATCCAAAAATGGGCAGAAGACCTAAACAGACATTTCTCCAAAGAATATATACAGATTGCCAACAAACACATGAAAGGATGCTCAACATCACTAATCATTAGAGAAATGCAAATCAAAACTACAATGAGGTATCACCTCACACCAGTCAGAATGGCCATCATCAAAAAGTCTAGAAACAATAAATGCTGGAGAGGGTGTAGAGAAAAGGGAACCCTCTTGCACTGTTGGTGGGAATGTAAATTGATACAACCACTATGGAGAACAGTATCGAGGTTCCTTAAAAAACTAAAAATAGAACTACTATACAAGCCAGCAATCCCACTACTGGGCATACACCCTGAGAACACCATAATTCAGAAAGAGTCATGTACCACAATGTTCACTGCAGCTCTATTTACAATAGCCAGCACATGGAAGCAACCTAACTGTTCATCAATAGATGAATGGATAAAGAAGATGTCGCGTATATATATAATGGAATATTACTCAGCCATAAAAAGAAACAAAATTGAGTTATCTGTAATGAGGTGGATGGACCTAGAGACTGTCATACAGAGTGAAGTAAGTCAGAAGGAGAAAAACATATACTGTATGCTAACACATATATATGGAATCTAAAAAAAAAAAAGGTTATGAAGAGCCTAGGGGCAGGACAGGAATAAACACGCAGATGTAGAGAATGGACTTGAGGACACTGGCAGGGGGAAGGGTAAGCTGGGACAAAGTAAGAGAGTGGCACGTACGTATATACACTACCAAATGGAAAATAGATAGCTAGTGGGAAGCAGCTGCATAGCACAGGGATATCAGCTGGGTGCTTTGTATCCACCTAGTGGGGTGGGATAGGGAGGGTGGGAGGGAGATGCAAGAGGGAGGAGATATGGTAATATATGTATATGTATGGCTGATTCACTTTGTTATAGAGCAGAAACTAACACACCACTGTAAAGCAATTATACTCCAATAAAGATGTTTAAAAAAGTAAATAAATAAATCTTCCACATAAAAAAAAGATAAGGAAAAAGTGGAATACCCAAGTGCCTAAGGCCTGACATGAGAGCAAACATAATCCATTTGAGGGACAAACAGATGAATATGTCTGGACTGCAATGAACGAGGGGATGAGTATATGAGATGAGGTTAAAGAGGCAGACAAGAGGAAATCCAGGGTAGATCTAGGTTTTAATGGAGATTGAAGTTTATAAATTGGGGGAAGAGAATACAAAACTATAAAAACAAAATTAAGTCCTAAATTGAGTATTTCTTCAGAATGAGAAAGAAAACTACATTAAATTACAAAATTTTAATAGTTCTCAAGCACATCAAACAATCCTAACATAATATTTTAAATAATTAACTCCCTGGCACACCTTCATAATAATTTTTCCTACATATCTTGGCTGTATTGCACTTGACTGTCTCTTCATGACAATGATTTTGTAATATCATTTTCTATAGAGTCATCAGAGAGAACAGTTCAGTCTTTCACCTAGAATAGAGGGTGAAAATTTATTTTTTATAATTGATAGTTTAGAAAAGTTTCTTTCAGCTTCACAACTGCCTGTTGATGACGCTCACTCTGTCCCAGCTTAAATACTTCAAATTACTGAATTTGTGAAAACCTCTTCTACATTTCTTTCACGAGTTCTAAGATTAGAAGAATGTTTAACAAACTTTAAAATGGACATCTTGGTTTCTCCTCCATTACCCACATTCTTCCAGTCCTGACTGGGTGTCACGGGACTAGTTCATATCACTATTCAGCCTCTGGCCTTGTACCTTCATGTAAGGATCCCAGCTGGTAAGCATTCTTAAACTGGGTCAACCCGCAATAACTAAACTATATGTGAAAGGTACTGCAAATCACATCTCTCCTTAGGATTCCAAAACTCCCTATGTCCACTCCAACATAACCTGCAAGGATGCGGAGCGTGACAGGGAGGAAGTCAAAGTATAAAACTATGGTGGCCTTAACCAATTTAGGTCCCGTCCAGGAAACAGCCTGCACAAGCAAGAGACCTCAAGCTTTAATTAGCTTCATGGTAACTCTACCTCTGTCCAGATCATTCTGAGCCTTAAAGATTATTGATAGCAGTTTGGTTGTTTTTTCTTCTGTAAGAGACAAGAAACCGGTAGAATTTTCACCAAGAGATTTGAATTATGTTTAAACAAGTACACACTGAGAAATGTACTGACCTAAGGCTATCCTCTAACCCTGCTCAAAAAGGGGTACTCAAGCAGGAAGTAGACCAAAATTATCCTTTCATATTCTGAAAATTTGTGTTTCCTCTTTCTCCCCATCTCTGGATTTGAAATCCCAGGATATACAAATCCAGTCATCCCACTATATCCCCTACAATAACCTCTGCTTGAAAAGAAAAGTAATAATTTCTCAATTTACAAGTTTATAATTAAAGAGTATAATAGGGCTTCCCTGGTGACGCAGTGGTTGGGGGTCCGCCTGCCGATACATGGGGCAGCCCCGGTCCGGGAGGATCCCGCGTGCCGCGGAGCGGCTGGGCCCGTGGGCCATGGCCGCTGGGCCTGCGCGTCCAGGGCCCGTGCTCCGCGGCGGAGAAGCCGCGGCAGTGGGAGGCCCGTGTACCGCAAAAAAAAGAAAGGAAAAAGAAAAGAATATAATAGCTATATGAATGTAATTTAAAAAAGCAAAATACTCAGTTACTGAATATTCTCTCTCCTACAGCTGTTTTGGGAATGGAGGCACTTTCCCAGCTGTGTAGCCCCAATTCTGACAGCCTGGCCTCTCCATCAATCAACTCCAGGAGACCTCCTTTCTGCTTAAATTAGCAAAATTTAACTAGTAACTTTTTACAAACAATTAATAATTCTGTATCTAACAGATAAGTATTCAATAAGCAAATAAGAGCAAACCAGTCAATCATGAACCCTGAAGTTATTAAAAGCATTGGGGGTAGAGTTGTCAAAAATGATTAGACGCTGTTGAACCAGAAATGCTGGAGGGTGACAGCATTCCTCAGCCCTTGAAACTCACCCATAGTCTCCTGTGCTGCCCTTTGATCCAGGCTTTGGAGAACAGTGTCATGAGAGTAGTACAGCAACTTTTCACCACACAAAATACTCCTGCTACTGAAATGCAAAAGAAATAGAAGCTGCAAAGAAAAGGAAATTAAGGAATGTAAAAAGGGGGAGGGGGCACATAAGAACTGATTTGAGAACAAAGTGTAATATAACACATACAGAAGAGCATAATTCAGACAGATATATAAATTTAGGAGTGGGAGACAGAATAAAAGCAGTGTTGGATTAGCACTGGGAAACATCACACAGATTCCATCATTTGACAAATATTTACTGATCATTTACTTCATGTGTATCTAAGCTAGATGACAGCAGTGGGAATGGAAAAAACACTGATGAACATTATGGAAAAATTAGGCAGTATTTGGTTATAGGCATTGGGGTTATGGTTGGATAAGACAAAGGAAAAGGTCAATAATGACTGTGGTCTCATGTCTAAGTGCTAGAAAAGCGATAAAACAGTATAATCAAATAGAAAAGCTGGGAGGTATAACTACTTTGGAAGAAATGGTTAGTCTGCTTTCAGACAGGCTGAATTTGAGATAACAGGTAGCATTTTTCATATTAATTACTAATTCCCATTTCCACTTAACTAATTCAATCAAAAGAATAAAGCCCTTCATCCAACTATAAAGGATTAAGATGCATAAATAGAGAATCTGCAGCAAATGCTAGACTTCTGAGACGTATTCAAAGGCATGGGCTAGATAAGAATATTACATGAGTCCACTGTTTCACAAAAGGTGTCCCATGACACATTAATCATCCTCTTTCTGAACATGCTACTGCCACTATCTCTCACATCCTCTCATCCCCTCAGATCCCACCTGAGAAGTTTCATGAGAAAAAAAATTGTGTCACAGGAATTTCTGGAGAATCTCACAAACTGTAATTACTTTTTGGAATTCTACAAGGTACACTTTTGAGAACCCTACTAAGGAAACCTTCTATTTTGTTTAGTCCAGGTATTTCCCAAACTTATTCAAAAGCAGAAATCTATTTTTGAGGAATACCTACCCATAATGACTTTGGGAAATGGTACACAGATAGTAAGCTACTTGAGGGCAGAGAATTTCTTATTAATCTTTGCCTATTCACTGTGCCTAACTTGATATGAAACACACAGGAAACAATGTGTGCTGAAACAAACAACTACTTATAGGGTTTATGTAAAAGCCACATTACTTTGGTCCTTTTCTAAAATCTGTTCCAAAATACTAAGGATCATCCTAGGTTTTTTATAAAAGTTCTTCATATACTTCATAAAATCTCTACCATAAATTAATCATATGAGTATATTATCCCAATACCACTGGATATAAGCATACTTTTTTTTGCTTCCAAAATTAAGTCCACCCTCAACACACCTGAAGACACCTCTGACGCATAACAATAAATAACTCAAAATAGAGTATTAAGTAAAATGGCTTCATAAAAACTGTGAAGTAATATGTAACAGCAAACTACTATTCCACATACTCATTAAAGTATGAGAACTGGATGAAAAACATACGCTTTATATTAATGACAAGAATTAAAAGAAGAAAAAGTAGTGAAGAAATCTTTTTCCCTTACCTCCTAATCAATTCAGGTAAACCTAAATAGTCACTTATTCCAGTCTCCTTCCCACAATAAGGAGAAGAGGAAGAAAAACATTCTGCCACTGGGTGGGGGAAAGAACAAAGTGTGCCCCTCCAGGCTTCATTCAGTAGCTCAGGGCCAAATGAATCAACATGTTTATCTACTAATACAGCTGAGCTCACTTTACAGTATTATGCACTTGAAAGGAAATGAACTTTTTAAAAATGAAACTAGTACAAATGAGAAAGTTTTGTTTTTTGTTTCTACAAATTTAGTTAAGCTCTTTGTTTATAAAGACCAAAATTACAGAATAAATCTTTCATTGTGTCAAAATGTTTACTCCAAACTGAAGAAGATTTGAGGAAACTCAGGCTCTAAAACATTTGATCTAAGGGTCAAGGACAGTCTGACTTCTTAGTTCTGCCAGCAGTTTCTAAAACTTGCTTCCTGTACTAGGGAATGTTCACTGTTCTTGCACAAACAATAATAAAAGTCATTTATACAACCACCTTGGTTATTTTTTCCTTTCATTTTAGATTCACTGTTTTATAAGAGCAAAGGCTACAGTTAATTCTAGTAAGTATTTTGAGTTTTTATTTACCACTATATTTCTACTCATTTAATATTTCTTGAGAAACAATATGAATTTATTAGTTTATTCAAAAATACATCCTGAATGTCAATTATGTGCCAGACATTATAGATGAAGGTCAGCAAAAGAAATGTGGTTACTGCTCTCCAAGAGCTTTCAATCCAGCTGGGAAAAAAGATACTATAAAATCATATATATATATATAAATATATATATATATACAAATATATATATATATACACACACACACACACAAATATAAAATGCAGACTATGAGAAGAAAAAAACCACCACGGAAACAAATAACATGATCTAGCCTGGGGGTTGCTTTGGTAGTGACAACTGAACTAAAATTAGCATAACAAACATTAAACATGATTTAAAACAAACACATACACACACATATCCCAAATCATGCTAGGAATAAAAATGTCCACGACTGTCGGGAGGAAAGGGTTTATAGGGGCAATGGTAAAATCTATATGACATCGAAAAAAATAACAGTGATAGCTTCATGTGAACAGCACTAACAGATCACTTATCTCTGTAGGAAGAAAAACAATGGCTAGTCCTGGTATATTTCCAGTCAAAAATAGGTTTTATAGCCAGAACTATTTTCCAATGAAAAAGCCAAACATCAGCTATTAATCTAGTTATTATAATCGCCAATAATCTCAAGTCTTCCAAACAATTATATTGAGTTTGTAACAATACATGTATCCCAAGCCTTAACACCTCACAAAACCCAGGTCGCAAAAAGACAACTTCAGCTTCACAGATCACAGGATCATATGATATTTGAGCAGAAACAAATTTCTAGATGTTACCTTACGATAAAACACTTTCACTTTTCAAATCAAACATGAGACCCAAAGTGGGGAAGTAACATATACAACCATCATTCATCTAGTTAGTAAGGAAGCTGACTAGACCCTGGATCTCCTGAGTCCCAGTCCTATGCTCTTTCTACGGCATTACAATAGCAAGTATATCAAATGACAAGGAACACACGTGTTGCAAATAAATAAGGAAAAGTTTAAAAACACAGGAATTCCATTTCAAAAATGTTACATACCTTCAATTGACACGCGGTTCCCTTAAGTCCCTCTTAATGTTCCCTCTTACTACATACCTCAAGGCTAAAAGTGAAGGAAACTACGAACATTTACTGACCCTATAGGGTCCAGGAGCTAGGTTGAGTGATTTTATCTATTTTAATTTCACTTAAATCATTACAACTACCCTCTGAGTAGGATATTATTCATCTCATTTTACTGATTTAGATTTTATTTAGATTCAGAAACACTAAATAACTTACTCAAGGTTACACAGCATAAAAATGGCAGAGGCAGGATTTGAATTCAAATCTGTATGACTCTAAATCCACGTAGCCACTTTACCACAAAAAAGTAATTTTTCACAGGAAAATATTACACAAAACAGTTCAGTCTCCCGGAGCACTCACCAATGTCCATTTAACTACTGAAGAAAAGTTTTTTAAGTTTGGTCTGGGAATCTCATAACCATTTACTACATTATTTTACAAGGAAGAACCAAGTTTTAAACAACTACTTTACGAGCAAAATTTAGAACACATTCTTAGATTGAATATTGTTTGTATTTTCTTTTCAGCATCCTTTTCAATACCACTGTCACTGCCACCCAGAAAAGCATCAGCTACCCATTCCTATGAAATGTTGGTTCACGAATAGGGAGAAGGGTACAACGCATGACCACTTAAGAGAACCACATGAAAACAAAAACTACATTTTAATAATTCTGATTTCTCCACTGGTGGATAACCCATTAACAGCTCCAATCAGAAGAGAGTATACTACTCAAAAAATAAGAACTAGTAGTGCAAGTAAAGCAAAGCACATCATAATTGAAAAAAGACCGACTTCTGATTGCACAACTACACATATCACAGAACTAAGTTTCTGCTTTCCCAGCTCTGCAAAATCTACATCAGGTACTCAGCTTCTGATAGTTGATATCTTCTTTCTGCTGTCATCTCTCATCCAGTTCTCTTTACCCTCATGGATTTATGCTTTAGTTTTCTCTATCATTTTAGTAGGGAGAGAAACAGGTGTCTTCTCTGATAATAATATTAGAGGATTTTTTTTTAGGCTTTTTTTTGATCCCTATGGTGTCTGTTTTCTTCCAATACTCCAGGTATCACTCCCCTCCTCCACCTCTTTATTTCTGTTTGCTTATTTTGACCTCTCTTTTTTTATGGAGGCTTTCCTCAAATGTCTGATGGTCCTGGATTCTTAGTTCATAGTTAAGAATGACATTCTGAAAAGAATTGACTGAAAGATCTGTGTGGGGGAATAGGCTTGTCAACAGGTGTAATTCACTCTGGGGTCTCTTGTGGCAAGCCTACCAGTACCTTAAGATAGTTCAGTTTTCTGCAGGAGATGAGCTGGATAAACTGTGAAGTTCTGGAAGGAGAAAAGAGGAAGCAAGCTAGAAGTTCCAGAGTTTGGATGTACATTTCCCTTAATCTTCCTGTTTTAAATAATCAGCCATCCACTTGCCCCTGGTTTCAAAATGCAGGCACTTCTTCAATTTTATAAAGAATAAACCTTGGTCTACTGAGGCCAGGATTGGTGGTGGAGGCAGTCACCTACCTATAAGGATACACAGAAAGAACCTATAAACGTACCTATTTTCTGACCAATCTCCGTTTTCAGCTCCACTTCTGACCTCAACTTTCCTTAGTATCTGGTGCCTCCCAATGCTGAGCCTCTTGGGAGCTTCAGAAAGACACAATACAGATAACCCTTGAATACATGAGCTTAACTGCACGAATCCACTTATACACAGATTTTTTTCACTACATAAGTACTATAGTGTAACATGATCTGTAGCTGGTTGAATCTGTGGATACAGAACTCCAGATATGGAGGGCTGACTGTAAAGTTATACGTGGAGTTGCGACTGCATGGGGGTCCCTTGTGTTGTTCAAGGGTCAACTGTATTACACCTCTTACAGGTATTGTGCACTTATAGGCATTGTAACTTTTCCTTTCTGCTAATCAGTTACTGCCTGTCCATCTGCTTTCTGATTTCAAAAAATCAGCTATTTCTGACTCCTGCTGTATCTCATTCAGCAGGAAATGGAGAGTTACCGTCTAAAGCAGCAGTCCCCAACCTTTTCAGCACCAGGGACTGGTTTCGTGGAAGACAACTTTTCCATGGACCGGGGTGGTGGGGTGGGGGGGGAGGCGGCGGGGGGGGGAGTCAAGCACATTACATTTATCGTGCACTCCATTTCTATTATTAATGCATTGTAATATATAATGAAATAATTATACAACTCACCATAACGCAGAATCAGTGGGAGCCCTGAGCTTGTTTTCATTTGCCACTCACTGACACGTATTTTGTTTTGTTTTTGTTTTTTTAATTAATTAATTAATTTATCTTTGGCTGTGTTGGGTCTTCATTGCTGCGCACAGGCTTCCTCTAGTTGCAGCGAGCGGGGGCTACTCTTCGTGGCGGTGCGCGGGCTTCTCATTGTAGTGGCTTCTCTTGTTGCGGAGCACGGGCTCTAGGCGCACGGGCTTCAGTAGTTGTGGCACGCAGGCTCAGTAGCTGTGGCTCATGGGCTCTAGAGTGCAGGCTCAGTAGTTGTGGCTCACGGGCTTAGTTGCTCTGTGGCATGTGGGATCTTCCCGGACCAGGGCTCAAACCCATGTCCCCTGCACTGGCAGGCGATTCTTAACCACTGCACCACCAGGGAAGTCCCACAGATAGGGTTTTGACATGAGTCTGCAAGCAACTGATTTATTATGGTCTCTGTGCAGTCAAACCTCTCTGCTAATGATAATCTGTATTTGCAGCCGCTCCCCAGTGCTGGCATCACCGCCTCGGCTCCACCTCAGATCATCAGGCATTAGATTCTCATAAGAAGCGCGCAACCTAGATCCCTCGCGTGCGCAGTTCACAGTAGGGTTCGTGCTCCTATGAGAATCTAATGCCGCTGCTGAACTGACAGGAGGTGGCGCTCAGGCGGTAATGTGAGCGATAGGAAGAGGCTGTAGATACAGATGAAGCTTTGCTCGCTAGCCCACTGCTCACCTCCTGCTGTGTGGCCCTGTTCCTACCAGGCCACAACCAATACCGGTCTGTGGCCCGGGGGTTGGGGACCCCTGGTTTAAAGAGTATAGTCATCCCTCGGTATCCACAGGGTTCCAGGACCCTCACAGATACCAAAATCTGTGGATGCTCAAGTCCCTTATATAAAATGACATAGTATTTGCATACAACCTATGCATACCCTCCCATATACTTTAAATCATCTGTAGATTACTTATAATATCTGAAATGATACATATGCTATGTAAATAGCTGCCAGCACAAGACAAATTCAAGCTTTGCTTTTAGAAACTTTCTGGATTTTTTTTTTTTCCAAAATATTTTCAATCTGTGATTGGCTGAATCCAGAGATGCAGAACCTTTGGACATGGAAGGAGCCAAGTGTACAAAGTTTCAGTTTTGCAAGATAAAAATAGTTCTGGAGATGGATGGTGGTGACAGCTGTACAGCAATGTGAATATACTTAACGCCACTGTATATGCTTAAAAATGGTTAAAATGGTCAATTTTATGTTATGTAGATTTTACCACAATTTTAAAATATAATTTTTAAAAAGCAAGGTTTTAAAAAAACTCACTTCCTGAAAGTCTCCTTCCAAGATCACCGTCTGCAAAGTTATCTCTCTCTCCCCCACCAGGGTAACTCTAGTTTTCATAGTACATACCATGGTTTACTTTCTTTGTAGCACTTATGGCTGTATGAAATTATCCTGTTTAACTACTTATTCATTATTTCTGTCCTTCAATTAGAGAGTAGGCACCTGGGCCACCTTCTGACATCACCTACACATTATGGTAATAAGACAATGGTAGGAAAGCGATCAATAAACATTTGGTAGGGGACTTCCCTGGTGGTCCAGTGGGTAACACTCTGCACTCCCAATGCAGGGGGCCCAGGTTCAATCCCTGGTCAGGGAACTAGATCCCACATGCATGCCGCAACTAAGAAGTCCATATGCCGCACCTAAGATTCCAGCGCAGCCAAAATAATAAATAAATATTTAAATATTAAAAAAAAACATTTCATGCATAAATTAATTGGTTTCTGGGTCCTAACCCAGACCCCTTGAATGAGAATCCTGGGATTCTCAGACACTGATTTATAAACACAGAAAACTTGCTATTTATGACACAGTAGCACCCCTCCCTCCAGTTAGAACAATTTGACACAACTGACCCTTAAAACAGATACTCTTTTTTCTTACCAATGAAGACCCATTTGCTTTTGTTTGGAGCACTGAACAACAGGGAAGTTACGGATAAAAGGAGTTTCTAATTATTTTCATATAGGAATATCAGACAACATAGTCAGTATAATTCCTTTAATTCTTTTTAAATGATTTTAGCACATATGCCTATTAGAAGAGCTTCCAGATCATAAAGATGTTTACTGATCTATTTTATTATGTAATTCAAACATCAAGGTAGCAAAACAAACAAACAAAAAACCAACCCTCTTTTCTATTTGTGTACTTGATATTATCTAACTTCCTACAGGAATTTTTTCTATCATCTTCTCTCTCTTGTCCTTTAATCTCACCTTGCCAGTTCTTAGCTCACTCCTAGACAGCAAATATATTCATCTCATCTCCTCACTATAAAAAATTGTCACTTGACCATACAACAAACTCAAGCTACCATCTTCTCTAATCCCCTTCACCACATCAAGCTTCCTAGAAGACTACTTTCTCATTTCCCATTGATTCCTCAACCTTCAGCTCCAAGGCAACTAATAAGGCTGTCAACCCCTTAACACAGCAATTGCCCTCTCAGCAGTGACCAATGAGCTCCCCTCTTTCTAATACTCATCATATTTCCCTATCTGTTTAAGTTCTGCTCCTCCTATCAGATGACTTAAATTCTTTTCATCCTTAAAAAATCCCAGACAGTTCTGGGTGCGAGCCTGGCTCTAACACTTGCTACACTTTTCTGAGCTGGTTCACTCAGGGGCTGGTCTGTCTCCCTAAGGCATGAGTGCAGGCAATACTTATTCATCTTTATATCCCTGAGCTCAAATGGCACATAGTAGACTCTCAATAAGGTTTGTGGGAGGGCAGGAAGAAAGGACAAAGGGGAGGGGTGGGAAGGGAGAACAAGGGAGAATGAGGGGAAAGATGATACAGGAAAACAGTTACACTTAACCTTTTTATCCCTAAGTACAAAGCAGAAAAATTAACCATAATGGAGCCTCAATGTTTGGTAAATCTAACTGAACGCCTACATACTACCTTATTTAATAGTTTTGTTTTATTCAGTTTCATTAAATATTTACATTTAAAATTCTAAGAACTGTACATTTACCTTAAAGGTGTAGTTGTAAAAATCAAACTGTTAACTATAGTTGTAGACAATAATAAATTCATAGTTCTAGAAATTATTAGTCAGTGAAGCAAAAATATACTTTAGCATTCCTTAACTTCCAGATGGGATAAAGGGGGACACAGCTAGGCTGGAGTCAATATGATATGAGGTAGAAATAGGACAACATTAAAATATGGCAATAAGGTAGGTTAAAAAAAAAAAAGCTCCATAAATTCCCTACCTAAAATTAACTTTTAGATCTATGAAGAAACTGTCATAAGTTGATAGCTTTTTAAAAGCCTTTTCAAAAGTGTGATTTCTGTTACTTAAGGAAAAAGAAGATATCCCTAAATTTAAAAACAAAGTACACGTAAACAAACTGCTTTAAATAAATGCTCTTTCACTATATTTCAAGAGAAAACTGTCTAATACTTTGGGGCACTTATTAAACAGTGAAAAGGAAAATACCTCTTTCTAGTTAAAAAGAGGATGAGGATAATTAGAGGAAATAAATCAATTTCAACAAATTTTAGTTCCTACTCTCTGCCATATCTCCAAGTTTCTATTCCTTTTACTTGCTTTTTCTCCAGAGTTCTGTCCTCCCCCTCTTCCCTTAAGCATATTCGCAAAGCGTTCTTGTGTCACAAGACATAATGGCTAGGAGCACACCCTTTAGGACCAGTGTGCCTGCATCTGAATCCTGACCCCATGACTTACTAGGTGTGTAATCTTAAGACTTAACCTCTCTGTACCTCAGCTTACTCATTTTTAAAAAAGAAAGATAAAATAGTACCAACCTCACAGGGTTGAATGCTGCCTGGCACATCATAAGTGGTTCAAAAGTGTTAGCTAGAGGGGGACCAAAAAATTTATCATCCAAACCAGGGCACTTCTGAGATTTAAAGAGAAGACTATAAATAATCCCACTGGAGCAACAGGGCATAAACCAGAACTGTCCCAGGCAAATCAGGACAGAGTAATCCAATTAGTATAAGATGAACTACAAATGTTGATATGCAACCGTTTCTGCCCTACAAATATCACATAGTTAACCTAATATTGTTCACTTCCAGTTAAAGAAACCTACTTATATACCATTATCTCTGAAAGTGGGTTCAGTGGGGGAGAAAAAAAGGGAAAATAGGTCAAAAAGTTTCAGAAACATCAAATTAAACAAAGTTAAACAAGTTTCTTTCCATCTAGCCTACCGAAAAGTCATTGGTATACTAAAGCCTTAATTAATCTTATAGCTTCAATTTTATTTTGCAACTACAAAGCTATTATAAAATAAAATTTAAACGAGCCACTGGTTTTTTTTCTTAATATAAAGTATGTTATCTATCTATGTTCACTGC